TTTTTTCCAATACCATGTGCTCACTTTGTGTCTCTGTGTCATGTTTTGGTAACTCTTGCAATATTTCAAACTTTTTCATTATTATATCCGTTATGGTGATCAGTGCTCAGAGATCTTAGGGTTTACTTTTTAATTTTTAAAAATAAACTATACATGTATATATATTTTGTAGCGATGGGGCCTCCCTATATTACCCAGGCTGGTCTCCAAATTGTGGCCTCAAGCGATCCTCCCACCTCAGCATCCTAAAGTGCTGGGATTTCAGGTGTGGGCTACCATGTCTAGCTTGATCAGTGATCTTTGATATTACTATGATCATTGTTTTGTGGTGTCATGAAACACACCCCTAGAAGACTAGTGAACTGAATCCATAAATGTTGTGTGTGTTCTCACTGCTCCAGTACCGGCCATTCCCCCATCCCTTTCCCTCTCCTTGGGCCTCCCTATTCCCTGAGACATAGCAATATTTAAATTACAGTGGACTCTTAAGTGGTTAAGTGAAAGGAAGACTCACATATCTCTCATTTTAAATTGGAAGGCATGTCAGAACCAGGATGGACTGAAAACTAGGCCTCTTGTGCCAAACAGCCACATTGTGAATGCAAAGGAAAGGCTCTTGAAGGATGTTAAAAGTGCTACTCCAGTGAACGCACAAATGACAGAAAAGCGAAACAGCTGGATTGCTGACATGGAGAAAGTTTTAATGCTCCGGATCGAAGTTTAAACCAGCCACAACATTCCCTTAAATAAGGCCTAATCTAGAGCAAGACCCAACTCTCTTCAATTCTGTGAAGGCTGAGAGAGGTGAGAAAGCTGCAGAAGAAAACTTGGAAGCCGGCCGAGGTAGATACATGAGGTTTAAGGAAAGAAGTTGTCTCCATAACATAATAGTGCAAGGTGAAGCAGCAAGTGCTAATGTAGAAATTGCAGCAAGTTCTCCAGAATATCTAGCTAAGATAACTGATGAAAGTGGCTACATTGAACAAAAGATTTTCAATGTAGATAAAATAACCTTCTAGTGGAAGAACGTGCCATCTAGGATTTTCATAGCTAGAGAGGAGAAGTCAATGCCTGGTTTCAAAGTGTCGAAGGACAGGCTGACTCATATTGTGGACTAATGCAGCTGGTGACTTTCAGTTGAAGCCAATGCTCATGTACCATTCTGAAAATCCTAAGCCCTTAAGATTGATGCTAAATCCATTCTGCCTGTGCTCTGTAAATGAAACAACAAAGCCTGGATGACAGCACATCACTTTACAGCAGAGTTTACTATTTAAAGCCCACTGTTGAGACCTAGTGCTCAGAAAAAGAGATTCTTTTCAAATATTATTGCTCTTTGACAGCATACCTAGTCACCCAAGAGCTCTGGTGGAGGTGTACAAGGACATTAATGTTTTCATGCCTGCTAACACAGTATCCATTCTGTAGCCCATATATCAAGGAGTAATTTCAGCTTTAAGTCATATTTAAGAGATACATTTTGTAAGGCTATAGCTGCCATAGATAGTCATTCCTCTGATGGATCAGGGAAAAGTACATTGAAACCCTTCTGAAAAGAATTCACCATTCGTGATGCCAAAAAGAATATTTGTGATTCATGGGAGGAGGTCAAAATATGAACATTAACAGAAGTTTGGAAGAAATTGATTCTCATCCTTATGGGTGGCTTCGAGGTATTCAAACTTCAGTAGAGGAAGTCACTGCAGAAATGATGCAGAAATTGCCACAGCCACCCCAACCTTCAGCAACTGCCACTCTGAGGAATCAGCAACCATTAACATCAAGGCAAGACCATCCACCAGCAAAAAGATCACTGAAGAGTCAGATCATTGTTAGCATTTTTGAGCAATATTTTGTTTTTTTGTTTTGTTTTGTTGCTTGTTTGTTTGTTTTGAGACAGAGTCTTGCTCTGTCACCAGGCTGGAGTGCAGTGCCACGATCTTGGCTCACTGCAACCTCTGCCTCCTAGGTTCAAGCGATTCTTCTGCCTCAGCCTCCCGAGTAGCTGGGACTACAAGCACGCACCACCACGTCCAGCTAATTTTTGTATTTTTAGTAGAGACAGGGTTTCACCATGTTGGCCAGAATGGTCTCGATCTCCTGACCTCATGATCTGCCCGCCTCAATCTCCCAAAGTCTTGGGATTACAGGTATGAGCCACTGCACCCAGCCACAATAAAGTATTTTTAAATTAAAATATGTTCATAGTTTTAAGACATAGTGCAATTGCACATTTAATGGACTCCAACATAGTGTAAACATAACGTTTATATAAACTGAGAAAACAAAAAATTTATGTGACTTAACCGTGATATTCAGTTTATTGCCCTGGTCTGGGCAATTACTTTTCCATAATTACCTCTCTTTGTTCAACCTAATATGTAAGCACTGTAGAGATAGGGTTTTACTGTGTTTCCCAGGCTGGCCTAGATTTTGCCACCTCTTTGGGGATTGCTGTGTACATGTAAAAATCCGAATGATTATCTTCTGCCCATCTATCTTATTTCAGTGTAACTCACAGGCCCAGCCAAAGACCCTAAGAAAGGAGAGGTAAAGCTTTGCCTTCCCTATACAAGTAATGATCATAATTACCTCCATTCTGAAGAGCCACCCTCTGAGATGCAGCCCAGCAATTAGAAGCAGGTTCACTCTAAAGAACAACCCGAGTCCATTGTTTATAAGAAATAGACCCGTATTAAGGCCTGTTGCTGAAGAGACAGAAATGGAGTCAGGACCCACAGACCATAGCTCCGCAAACTCTGTGTTTGCTTGCCAGAGCATAGAATTGTGAAAAAGTGAATCAAGAAGCAGATGCTAAGTTTTCAAGGTAAATACATTGCCGAAGGAATCCCATGCCTGGATTACCAAGGCCCAGGACAGTTTAACTCCTGAGGTACCTCCTCAGCAGCAGAACCAGTACCAAGAGGAATTTGGTACAGCTGCAGAAGTGGAAGCCTCCTCAGTGTCTATTTCACATGTGGCTATGACCACAACAAACTAAAAACTAATTTACTGCCAGGTCAGGGACCCCCAGGATGTGTGTGTGCTATGGACTTGTCCCCTTCTTCCCTCTTCTGAATGCAAACTTTTGTGGTAATTTTTTTTTGTCCTTTCACTATTTATTATTGAATTCTTATGTAGATTTCCTGCCATGTAGAATTTCATGAACCTGATTCAAAAGAATACAAATCACTCAAAGATACTAGCTGTAGTAGATTATGCCACAATAAAACTGGGGAAATATGAAAAAAAAGAGAGAACAGAGAACTTTTCATAGTTTTCAATAACCATTTACTGAACAAGTACCACTATAACAGTATTAGTGGAAATCAAACATATTTCAAAATAAACTATGTAAGAAAAAACTCTCCCAAAAAACCCACCATAGAAACCAATCTGCTTTCTTTTTCAACCTTTTTGATTTTAATCTTCATGCACACACAACTGAGCAGGATATAATCTGAAAATTTTACATACGTATATAATCTTGGAGCTTTATTGTAATTTCATGGAATTAAAAATCATAGATCTTTTCAAAAAAAAAAAAATAAGGCTTTGGATTCAAAATGAATGCAGGACCTAAAGGATAATTTGGGCTGTCTGCTGTTGAGTAATAGTCACATTATGTTTTACATTTCATGTGTATAGAGGGCTGCTAAGCAGCTATAAGGAGTAGGGTGGAGAAGTCATGTATCTTTGAAGATCCATTCCACCCCAGCACATCATTCATTTGGCTTCACTGGACTTAGCTCAACCCTGATTCAGGGAGTGGTGTATATAACCCACACCAATGGACTACCTCTCACTCCCCTCCACAGTCAGAGCAGTTGGCTCAGGGAGGGACAATCATCACAGGCTGAATTACTTTCCTCTTGCTTTGGTAACAAATTACCACAAACTTAATGACTTAAAACAAAGCAACAAGTTTATTGTTTTACAGTACTGGAGGTCAGTCTAAAATGGGTCCTTGGGGCTACGTTCATTCTGGACACTCAAGGAGAGAATGTGTTTCTTTGCCTTTTAGAGCTTCTAGGCCACCTGCATTCCTTGGCTCACAGCTCCCTTCTTCCATCCTCAGGTCCAACAGCATAGTACCTCTTCTCTTCTCTGACCTCCTGCCTTTCATCTGTGATTACCTGGGGCCCACCTGGATAATCCAGGATAATGTCAAGAGGGGTGGTTATCTCAATGGGGAGCATCTCATCTCAAGAACCTTAATTACATCTTCAAAGTTTATTTTGTCATGTAAGGTAACAGACTCATAGGTTCTGGGATGGGACATGACATCTTTGGGGAGTCATCTGTCACACAAGCCAATTATGTTCTTCCCTAGAACATTTGCTGTAAGTAAAGCGAGCACTTTAGTGATTTAGGGATTTTCTGAGCCTACAACTATTAGTAGCCATATCTGTACTTGGAACTTGAGAATTAGACCAATCCAAAAGAAAACAAAGTTGAACAACAAAGTAAAATGGTCCAGGTTGGGTGTGGTGGCTCACACCTGTAATCACAGCCCTTTGGGAGGCTGAGGTGGGCAACCTGAGGTTGGGAGTTCGAGACCAGCCTGACAACCTGGAGAAACCTCGACTCTACTAAAAATACAAAATTAGGCAGGTGTGGTGGCGCATACGTGTAATCCCAGCTACTCGGGAGGCTGAGGCAGGAGAATTGCTTGAACCCGGGAGGTAGATGTTGCAGTGAGCTGAGTTTGCGCCATTGCACTCTGGCAGCCTGGGCAACAAGAGCAAAACTCTGTCTCAAAGAAAAGAAACAACAAACAAACAAAGAAAACAACTGTCCTAGTCCTAAGAATATTGTGTAGGCTCCTAGGCTCACCCATGCCTAAAACCAACCTTACCCATAGACTTTGTGGTTATATGAATCAATCTATTACCTTTTTGCTTAATCTAGTTTGAATTTGTTAGTTTGTGTTTCTTTTTCTTCTTGTCTTCCAGGCCGGAATGCAATGGCATGATATCGGCTCACTGCAACCTCCACCACCTGGGTTCTAGTGATTCTCCTGTCTTGGCCTCTCAAGTAGGTGGGATTATAGGCACCCACGACCACACCCACCTAATTTTTGTATTTTTAGTAGAGACGGGGTTTCACCATTTTGGCCAGGCTGGTCTCAAACTCCTGACTTCAGGTAATCCACCCTCCTCAGCCTCCCAAAGTGCTGGGATTATAGGCGTGAGCCACCGTGCCCAGCTGGTAGTTGGTAGTTTTTGCAATCAAAATGGTCTTGTAATCAAATTAAGTGCTGGGAAAGCAAGATATAAGATGAGATTTATTTGTTCTCCATCATTGAATAAGATTAAAAATGTGTTAAATGTTTCCCTTAGGAGCAACCTGAGGAGGTGCTACCATGTCTTCAAGATGACTTGGGGATATTTTCTGGGAAGAAAAACCTCCTGTCCATATCTCTGACAACTGAGGAAGAGGCCTTGCCAGTTTCATCCAGTATGTTTTTCTTACATAATCCTGTTACATGAGATTGATTGAACTCACCTACAGATATACCTGCCAGCTCAACTAGACTGAAATATCAACAAGGATTTATTCACTTGAACATGAACAACACTTGCCTAATGGGCCCAAGAACCCACCCACCCACAGAGCATAGTCCTGCCACTGCTAGCACCAGTTCAAGATCCTGAAGGGCCAAGGATCAACCTGCTGAGACCTGATATTACTGGTGCTTGCATACACTACCCAGGGACCCAAAGACTGGCCCCTTTGGCCCACCACTGCCACCAATGTGGCCCAAAGACCAGGCCCTCGTTGAGGTCCCTGTCCCTAGCAAAGTTTCACCACAACCTCCACTGAATATCATAGCCTAAGCCACTGAGGAACTCACAAACACCACTGCCACTAATTAGAGCCAAAGAAATAATACAGATACTACACATCCATCTAGAATCAAAGCCAAAGTACCCCATCCAATCAATGCTATAGATACATCTACAGAAAACAAGTATTTCCCTACCAAAACCAATTCATAAAATTGGAAGAAGTGATTATTATACCAGATGTGCAATTGTCAATATAAAGACACAAGGAAAATTAAAAATCAAGGAAACATGACACCTCCAAAGGAACACAAAAATTCTCCAGCAACAGGTACTGCAATGAAAAATAAATCTACAGGCTGGGCGTGATGGCTCATGCCTGTAATCCCAGCACTTTGGGAGGCCGAGGTGGGCAGATCACGAGGTCAGAAGATCAAGACCACCCTGGCCAACATGGTGAAACCCGTCTCTAGTAAAAATACAAAAAAAAAAAATCACCTGGGCATGGTGGCACGTGCCTGTAATCCCAGCTACTCAAGAGGCTGACACAGGAGAATCCCTGGAACCGAGGCAGAGGTTGCAGTGAGCTGATATCGAACCACTGCACTGCCTGGGTGACAGAACAAGATTATGTCAAAAGAAAGGGGGGGGGAGAGAGAGAGAGAGAGAGAGAGAGAGAGAGAAAAGAAAGATAGATCTATGAAATGCCTGAAAAGGAATTCAAAATAATGACATTAAAGAAGTTTGATGAGACAAAGAAGTGCTAAAATAGCATGTAGATCATCTAAGAAAGAGCATTGGAATTCAGCAGAGAAATGATGGAAAACTACAGCAAGGAAGGAGAGAAAGACAAGGCAGCTTGTCCAACTGGGATGAGCTGGCAGCTTAATGTACCCTGTTAAAAAAAAAAAAGAAAAGAAACAACATTAGCAATACAAAGCTCTCTGCTTTCTAGAAAGTATTCTAGAAAAACCATTTTATTATAGAAAATTACTCGACCACATTAAGTATTAATGTCATAATATTTGGAGTTTGGAATCTAGCAAAATTAAGATATATATATGAAATATGGCATAAGACAATTTGTCAAAAAGAAATCAATTTTTTACATTGAAAGTTTTAAATGTGGCCAGGTGAGGTGGCTCACACCTGTAATCCCAGCGCTTTTGCAGGCCAAGGCGGGCGAATCGCCTGACGTTGAGAGTTCAAGACCAGCCTGACCAACATGGAGAAAACCCGTCTCTACTAAAAATGCAAAATTAGCTGGACATAGTGGCACATGCCTGTAATCCCAGCTACTTGGGAGGCTGAAGCAGGAGAATTGCTTGAACTTGGGAGGCGGAGGTTGCAGTGAGCCGAGACCGTGCCATTGCACTCCAGCTTGGGTGAAAAGAGTGAAACTCCATCTCAAAAAAAAAAGAAAAAAGAAAATGTAAAATGTTCTAACTGCTGAGCCAGTGCTTGGTGGTGCTAATGGTGTATTGGTAATGATGGTAGTGGTGGCATTGGTGGTGGTGGTTTTTTTAAATTTAAATTTAAATTTTCGTTTTTAATTTTAAATTTTAAGTGGGTATTTTTCCAGAGGATTCATCCTGTTCTTATGGGAGATACTACCACAAAACAATGCTTCCTTCTCATGGAATCAGATGACTTAGTAGATTGTGAACAGTATCTCTTGTTCTTCAACAATATATTGCAAGAATCTCTATGTTCCTTCTAAGGGTACATAACGCTAAAGGAAAAATAATACATAATGCTTGTAAAATCATTATGAAATAGTCTTCTTTTTGTCTATAAAATATGCTTGCTTGTCTTTTATATATAATATATAAATATATATAAAGATATGTAAATAATGTATATATATCATATATTTTGCATATTAAAGTATTTATTATATTAAAAATAACATAAGAGATTCTGAAGGACTGAGAATCTTCCACTGGGTTTCTGCAACTATTCCTCTCTACTCCCTCCTGTACATGACCTCAGATCCCAGCTGTTCTCCATTCCTGTTGAAAAAACCAAAATTTCCCAATTCCTCGCTGCTAATCTGCACAAATTATTGGTAGGAGAAAATCTTTGACTAATTCTCCAAACTACCTAAACTTCAATTGACCCTGCTAAACCACTATACAAATTCTGTTCTTCTTCCCCAAGTTAGCATTATTGAATAAAATTTGCATAAAATTTATGCTAACAGAGCTCTGGGTGGTTATTGCCTATAGTGGAGAGAGAGAGACAAGAAAAGAAAAGAGAAACATGTTCTCTTCAGTATACTGAAGGAGGAAAGAAAGTTTTGATTGACTAAATATCACCCTGACTCTACAATTTCTTCCGCACAAACAGCAAGACAGATACTTCCCTCAAGAGAAGCATTTTTACAGATGCAGGCAGAGACTTGGTTAATGGTAGTTGACTTGTAATCTGACCTCTCTGACCTTGCAGGCAGAGACTTGGCTAATGGTAGCTGATTTGTAATCTGACGTCTCTGATGCAGGCAGAGACTTGGCTAATGATAGCTGACTTGTAACCTCATCTCTATGACGGGTGTGGTCACTCATGCCTGTAATCCCAGCACTTTGGGAGGCCGAGGCAGGCGGATCATCTGAGGTTGGGAGTTCGAGACCAGCCTGACCAACTTTGAGAAACCCTGTCTCTACTAAAAATACAAAATTAGCAGGGTGTTGTGGCACATGGCCTGTAATCCCAGCTACTCGGGAGGCTGATGCCTATTTTAGACCTATTTAAAGACACCTGCCTCAGACTCAGGGAAGTGAGCATGTAATATCTGAATATACTTGGGGGTAAAAATGGAAGAAGAACCCTGTAGACCAGCCAATAGCAGCTTTATTTCAATTAAAAAAAATTAAAATTAAACAAAGAAAAGAAAAGGTCTAGCTCAGAAAAAAAATGAGTCGACCCTACTTTAGGTGGAAGAAAAACACGAAGTCTAAAAGAAGCTGTGTCTCCGGGACCCCAGCTACCCCAGCAGGTGATATAGAGAGAATGTCTGAAAACATAAATTCCTTGGACATAATGGTGTATCCAGACAATCTCATTATATTTTGTAAGTCTTTGGAAGAACAGGAGATGAGACTTTAAAAGCAGTGGGCCACCTCAAATAGATAAATCTTAAACCTTCCCTTGACAATCCCCAATTGTACTGTACCCCTGTGAGGTATATGGGGACAAGTATCTCAGCAAACACAGACCCTTGGAAGAATTCTGCTCAAACACTCCCTCTGTCCCATTCGCATTAGAGAATTGGAGATGTTATGGGAGTTACATATGTTTGTTTGTTTGTTTGTTTGTTTGTTTTAAGGATTTGGATTTGGAAGATGAAGGCTCTCAAAGTGAATCAAAGGATCCATGACAGCTCCCCAGAGGGCACAGAGAAGTCTAACCAGGACCTTCTGATTACCCAGTTAATTCGTAAGGTACTGGGTGAGCCTGGAGAGGACACATCCCATGAGGTTGGCTGCAACACAGTGTGTGGTAACAATGCACTTGCCTTAGACACCACATGGTCCTCACTGCTAAGGGATTTCTTGTACTTTATAATACTAAATGAAGATCAGGTTTTTTCCAACCTTGCATAGCTACTCTAATTCCCCTTTTACTTTTCCTAACCTTGAGAAGCTTCTAGCTCCAGGAAGAGAGAGAGTGTATGTATATCTATATGTCTGTCTGTTTTGGTTTGGGGAATGGAATGGTCAGAGAAACCTGCCACATTAGTGGGGACCTCTCTACCCACCATAGAAAGGAAGTGAAATATCAATGGTCATGGAGAGACAAAGAGAAACACATATAAATGGAACAGATTAGTTTTAAAAAGTTCCTATGTATGGTGAGAGATAACTATCAATTCTGAAGGACTGCCAAGCAGATGTGAGAATCTAGGCTGGAAGTCAGAACTGTATACAGGCCTAAGTGGTATAATTTTCTCTAGCAGCTCTCAAGGGCACAAGTATAGGCATGAAGAAGGCAATTAGATCTGGATTTAGAATTTTTCCATTGGATGCAACTGAAGGGCAAGGAGTCAATGGAATGTTGCGGCTTTCCTACTTCTGCTGTTTGGTGAGCAGGAGGGAGTGGGGCTCAATGGCTTCTTCACTTCTGTAGTTTGGCAAGTGGGAGGAAGTGCTACAGTCTTTTTACTCCTGCCACCAGCCACTCAGTGAGCTGGAGCACTATAGTTCCTGTGCTCCTGCAGTTCGGTGAGTTCCCGGTTCTTGTCCCATGATCAAGAAGAATAAGGCAGATGGACACTGGAGAGTGAGTAAAGCAGAGTAGGATTTGCTAAGCAACAGAAAAAGTTCTCAGCAGAGAGGGAATCCAAAAGATGGTTGCTGGCTGCAGGGCTAAGTTCAGGGTTTATACGGACTGGGAAGGAAGGAGGAGTGTGCTGACTGGTCTGGGGGCTGTTTGGAAAAAACACCACTCAGAAAGAGACACGATGATGTAAAAAAACCAACTGAAGGCAGAATTGAAGTCTCAGCTCACAACTGATGGGGGGCTGGAGTGACGTTTCACTCTATGCAAATGAAGACTCAGCCCATAGCCAATCACAGAAAGATAGGTATATGGTGAAAGGTAAGGACCAATTGGAAAGAAGCATGCCAAATGGGAGTGGGAGTCCTCATTCTGGTCTGTGGATTCTATCCAGAACTGGCATCTCAGTTTTCAAGCCTTAGACTATCCTCGGCTTCAAGGTTGAGTTTCACCAGAGACCCATCCCTGCCTGCCGAGGAATTCACCTGCCTTCCATGGCTATTAAGAGGAAAATATTGACAGTAAAACTTAAGTTTGTTTAGGATCAGGGAATGTAAGTGATGTAGAAAGAAAATAAAAAGGGAGAAAATAGAGAAAACAGAGGCTGAAGGTTGTAGTGAGATCAAAGAGCAGATGTAGTAGGGGAAACCAGGTGGGACATTTTGAAGAGTAAATGGCTTTGATAAGAGTGGGGTGTTTGAATTTATACTGTTAAAGGTGATTAGGGTAAAATATACTATTCTTTCCACTCTTCTTTGAAAAATTTTATAATTAAAAAATGATATATCAGGTGGAGCACTTTCTGATATTGAACTGAAATCTGCCACATCCTTCATTAGTGGGGACCTCTCTACCCACCATAGAAAGGAAGTGAAGTATCAATGGGCATGGGGAGACAGAGAAACACTTATAAATGGAATAGATTAGGTTTAAAAAGTTCCTGTGGAAAGTGAGAGATAACTATCAATTCTCACTTTGGGTCTTGGTAAGAGCTATGAAAATGGGTGACTGAAGAGTGAAGCTGAAGGTCACTGGAGTTCTGTCTGTGAGAGTCTTAGAACAAGAAAAAAGCAGATATCCACTTAAGCTAATTTAACCGAAAACAGGGTAGAGTGGGCTGAACTGTGTCCCCACAAAAGATATGTTGAAGTCCTAACCACCAATACTTGTGTGATTGTGACCCTATTTGGAAACAGAATCTTTGCAGATGTAATCAAGGTCAGATGAGGTCAGCCTGGATTAGGGTGGGCCATAAATTTACAACTCGTTTCTTTATAAGAGAAGAAGAGAAAGGTGCTGATAGAGAGACACAGGGGACACACAGGGAAGCAGGCCATGTGAAGAACAGATTTAGAAATTGAAATGATATAGCTACAAGCCAAAAAGATGCCGAGAATTACCTACAACCACCAGAAGCTAGAAGACAGGCACAGAACATATGTTCCCTCAGAGACTCCAGAAAGAAACAACCCTGGCCAGGCACAGTGGCTCACACTTGTAGTCCTAGCACTTTGGGGCACTTTAGGGGGCCAAGGAGGGAGGATCACTTCAGGCCTGGAGTTTGAGACCAGTATGGTGAATACATGAGCTGGTAACATAGTCTTTTTTTTTTCTTTTTGAGACAGGATCTTACTGTGTTGTCCAGGCTAGAGTGCAGTGGTGTGACCACAGCTCAGTGCAACTTCCGCCTCCTGGGGCTCACGTGATCCTCCCAGCTCAACCTTCTGAGTAGCTGGGACTACAAGCGTGCACCACCACACCCAGGTATTTTCTTATTTTTTATTTTGTAGAGACAGGGTCTCACTATGTCGCCCAGGCTGGTCTCAAACTCCTGACCTCAAGTGATCCTCCCTTCTCAGCTTCACAAAGTGATGGGATTACAGGTGTGAACCACCATACCTAGCCAAATATGTTTACATACACAAATACTTACCATTGTTTTACAATTGCCTACAGTATTCAGTATAGTAACATGCTGTTCAGGTTTGTAGGCTAAGAATGATAGGCTTTATCATATAGCCCCGGTGTATAGTAGGCTATACCATTATAGGTTTGTGTAAGTACATTCTATGATGTTTGCACAATGAAGAAATCAACTAATGATGCATTTCTCAGAATATATCCTTGTTGTTACGTAACACAAGACTGTACTTCTAGATGACTGGTAGAGCAGTAGGTTTGTTTACGCCAGCATGACCACGAACACTTGAGTAATGCCTTGCAGTATGATCTTACAAGGGCTACGATGTCACTAGGTGGCGAAAATTTTCAGCTCCATTAAAAATCCATGGGACCACTATAATACATGCAGTCTGTCATTGACAAAAACATTATGTGACACATGACTGTATTACCATGTCATAGATTGAAATACATTTGGTTCTTGTTATTCATGGTAGTTTCGTTTCATAGTCATCAGGAACTCTAAATTAGTGAATGAAGAACAATTGTCCCTGAGGAAATATGAGCCTTTCATCAAATATTTTTGTCAACCAATCAGTAACATGTAACATTTACACATGTAAATGTATATATATAACATATACAGGCATACCTCAAAGATATTGAGAGTTCATTCCCAGACCACCACAACAAAGCAAATATCATAATAAAGCAAGTTACAAAAATTTTCCTGGTTTCCCAGTGCATATAATTGTTATTTTTAAAAGTACATACCTTAATTTAAAAATACTTCATTGCTAAAAAAAACTGCTAACAATCATTTGAGCCTTCAGCGAGTCATAATCTTTTTCCTAGTGGAAGGGCTTGCATTAATATTAATGACTGCTGACTGATCAGTGTGGTGGAGGCTGAAGTTGGCTTGGCTGTGGCAATTTCTCCAAATAAGACAACAAAGGAGTTTGCCACATCAATTGACTCTTCCTTTCATGAAAGATTTTTCTGTGGCATGCCATGCTGTTTGATAGCATTTTACCCACAGTAGAACTTCAAAAATTGGAGTCAGTGGTAATTTGTTACTAAAGCAAGAGGAAAATAATTCAGCTAGTGATGATTGCCCCTCCCTGAGCCAACTGCTTTAATCATGGTGGGGATGAGGGGAGCAGTCCATTGGCCAGGTGTGGGTTATATGAACCACTCCCAGAATCAGGATTGGGTAAGTCCAGTGAAGCCAAATGAATGGTGTGTTGGGATGGAATGAATCTTCAAAGGTACGTGACTTCTCCATCCCACTCCTTAGCTGCTGAGAAGTCCTCCATACACATGAAATATAAAACATAATGTGAGTATTCCTGAACAGGAGACAGCCCAAATTATCCTGTAGGACTTGCATTCACTCTGTCACCCATGCTGGAGTGCAAAGGTGTGAATACAGCTCACAGCAACCTTAACCTCTTGGGCTCAAGCAATCCTCTTACCTCGCAGCCACTTAAGTTGCTGGAACCACAGGTGGGCACCACTGCACCTAATTAATTTATTTTTTTATTTTTATTTTTATTTTTTTTGTGGAGACAGTCTCTTACGATATTGCCCAGGCTGGTCTTAAACTCCTGGGCTCAAGCAATCCTCCTGCCTTGGCCTCCCAAAGTGCTGGGATTATAAACGTGAGCCACCGCCCATGGCCAGGACTTACATTCACTTTTGATCCCAGGTCTTTGTGGCTTTTTGACAAAGACCATGATTTTTTTTTAGCTCCAAGATTATATACGTATGTGAAATTTTCAGATTACGTCATGTTCAGTTGTGTATTCAGAAAGACTAAAATCAGAAGGAAAGGTTGAGAAAGCAAAGCAGATTTGATTGTACAGTTGGATTTTGGGGAGAGGTTTTTCTTATATAGTTTAACAATTTTGAAGTATGTTTGATTTTCATTAGTACTGTTATAATGGTACTTGTTAGAAAACGGTTATTAAAAACTATGAAAAATTCTCTTTTCTGTCCTTTTTTTTTCTTTTTTCTTTTTATTTACTTTTTTATTTATTTATTTTCAGTTTTCCTGGGGTGTAATTTACTACATCCAGGATCTTTGAGTGATTTGTATTCTTTTGAGTCAGGTTCACGAAACGAAATTCTACATGGTAAGAAATCTACATAAGAATACAATAGTAAGTAGTAAAAGGGAAAAAATTACAATAAAAGTTCACATTCAGAATAGGGAAGAAAGGGAAAGCACATCATGGTTACAAGTCCCTAGTTCACACACGTATCCTGGGACTCCCTGACCTGGCAGTAAACGAGGTTTCAGTCTGTTGTGCTCATGGCTGCATGTAAGACAGACACTGGGGAGGGTTCCCCTTCTGGGCTGCACCAACCTCTTGTTGGTACTGGTTCTCCTGCCTGGTTCTCCTGCCTGGGTGGTTCTCCTGCCTGGGTGGTACCTCAGGAGTTAGGCTGTCCTGAATCTTGGTGATCCAAGTTTGGCATTCTTTTGGCAGTGTATTTACCTAGAAACTTTCGCATCTGCTCCTTGAGTCATTTTTTTACAATTCTATGCTCTGGCAAGCAAAGACAGAGTTTGCAGAGGTATGGTCGGTGGGTCCTGAATCCATTTCTGGTCCTTTAGAAGCAGGCCTTAATATGGGTCTATTCCTCGTAAATAATGGGCTCAGATTATTCTTTAGATAGAATCTGCTCCTCATTGCTGGGCTGCATCTCAGTGGGTGGCTCTTCAGAGTGGAGGTAATTATGATCATTACTGGTGTAGGTAAAGCAAAATTTCACCTCTACTCCTTCAGGGTCTCTGCCTGGGCCTGAGAATTAAATTGATGTAAGACAGACTAGCAGCAGAAAAACATACAGATTTGTACATGCATGTGGGAACCCCCAAAGGAAAATGAAGACCTGAAGAAGTGGCACAAGCTAAGTCTTTATATAGTAGGTTGAACAAAGAGAAGCAATTGCGGAAACAAAAATGAAATACAAGCCCATCTCAAAGATACGGATTTTGTTCTGCAGCAGTGCAACATACCAAATGTCACAATGAAGTCACATGAATTTTTTGATTTCCCAGTTTATATCAAAGTTATATTGGAGTCTATTAAATGTGCAATTGCATTATGTCTTAAAAAACTATGTACAGGCCTGATGTGGTGGCTCACGCCTGTAATCCCAGCACTTTGAGGGGCCAAAGTGGGCGGATCACTTGGGGTGAGGAGTTCGTGACCAGCCTGGCCAACATGGTAAAACTGCGTTCCTACTAAAAATACAAAATTTAGCAGGGTGTGGTGCCGCACACCTGTAATCCCAGCTACTAGGGGGACTGAGGCAGGAGAATCGCTTGAACCCGGGAGACGGAGGTTGCAGTGAGCTGAGATTGCATCATTGCACTTCAACTTGGGCAACAAGAGTAAAACTCCCAGGTTCTGGGATTACACGTGTGAACCACTGTGCCCAGCCTTATTCTTTAAGCCAATTTTGGTAGTTTGTATTTCTTAAAATAATTTTAGACAAATTGATTTTTTTATTCTTAAGTGTATTGGTATATATTATTCCTTCATAATATAAAAATATTTTTATATTATTTATTACTACTGATTTATTATGTTTATTCTCTTTCGTTCAATTGTTTAGACTTGGCAAAGCTTATCTGATAATTTACTTATTAAAATAAATAGCTTTCAATTTTATTTTTAACTTAATGATTATTATTTGTATTTCATTAAATTGTGTTTGAAAAATAAATGTGGATAACTCTTGACAACTTCTGTTGACATAAACTTCTGTTGATAACTTCCTGAGTTGAAACTCTCTTTTATGTATTTTATAATAAATGAATTTTTGTTTTAAAAAAACTATGTACATACTTTAATTAAAAAAATACTTTGTTGCTCAAAATGCTAACAATGATCTGACCCTTTACCTTTAGTGAGCTGTAATCTTTGTTGGTAGAGGGCCTGGCATTGATGTTGATGGCTGCTGATTTGTCAGGGTGGCAACTACTTAAGGTTGAGGTGGCTGTGGCAATTTCTTCATCATCTGCAATCATTTACAGTTACTTCTACTGAAATTTGAACCTCTCAAAGCCACCCGTGAGGATTAGAATCAACTTCTTTCAAGCTTCTATTAATGGTTTTTGGATTTCCTCCCGTGAATCACAAATGTTCTTAACGACATTGAGAATGGTGAATCCTTTCCAGAAGGGTTTCAGTGTATTTTGCCCAGATCCACCAGAGGAATCACTATCCATGGCAGTAATTTCAACTTCAATTCATATTTAAGAAATATATTTTGCAAGGCAAAATTACTCCTTGAAATTATTCCTTGATCCATGGGCTGCAAAGTGGATACTATGTTAGCAGGCATGAAAACAACATTAATTTCCTTGTATATCTCCATCAGAGCTCTTGGATGACCAAGTGCATTGTCAATGAGCAGTAATATTTGAAGGAAATCTTTTTTTCTGAGAAGTAGGTCTCAATAGTGGGCTTAAAATATTCATAAAGTATGCTATAAAGAGATGTGCTGTTGTCCAGGCTTTGTTGTTTCATTTGCAGAGCACAGGCAGAATGGATTTAGCATCATTCTTAAGGGCCTAGGGTTTTCAGAATGGTACATGAGTATTGGCTTCAACTGAAAGTCACCAGCTGCTTTAATCCATAACATGAGTCAGCCTGTTCTTTGAAGCTTTGAAGCCAGGCATTGACTTCTCTTCTCTAGCTATCAAAATACTAAATGGCAC